GAATTTGGGGGAAACAGTCAACGCCCACCAAAAACTTATATTGGGCACCAAAACGCTATTACCTGCGAGCCTGCGACCTACATAGCAGTTATATTAGATAATCAATAATAATAATGGATGTAATGAGTAAACTTGTACGGTGAATTGGGAAAGTTGGGGCCCACCGTCCCCAGGCGGCGGGGACCACACCTGCTTATTTGGTATCGACGCGGCGCGTTTCGTAACGCTCATGTTATTTCACATTTGAGATTTTGTGATAATAGATGTTTGAGAGTAATTATTCACGGGCCCTTATCACCACTTTTAGTGTTATAAATAAAGCAAGCGTTGTGTACGTTTGTGGTAATACTAATTTTTACCTGTGGCTTCGTTCGTGCAATTAGGGGTTTTTAATGGATGATAATGAAATGGTAACCCCGTCTGCGCTAACGGTATGCGCTGGCGGGGTACCAGTGAAGGATGCGTCAATATATAGAACATTGACAAACATTTGTCATTCCATTGTTTCTGCCTACCCTAATGGAGACAGGCGTGACAGATATGTATGTATGTATGACAAACATACGAGTCAGCTAATTGGATAATTAACTGACAAAAAGTTAACCGGTTTTTGAGATTCCTATATAATTTAAGCTTAAATCTCATATATAATATAAATAAGTGCCTCCGATCAAATTGTTTATAATTACTCCTATCCATTCAAAGGTTGATATAAAATATATATATAAAATATATATATATATATATATATATATATATATATATATATATATACTCTTTGGATATATATATATATATATATATATATATATATATATATATATATATATATATATATATATATATATATATATATATATATATATATATATATATATATATATATATATATATATAATATGTAGATATTTATTCGATCAAAATCATGACCTACTAGAACACAGTTTACTGCATGTTATGCAAAAATTGCATTTCGTTGTTGCACACCATTTGTTATATTTCTGCTGCATTTTATACATGCTGTCCTAACTATTTTTGTCACAAGATTTCAAATTTTATTTTTTTCAAAAATTATATTTTTTAATACAGTTCTTGAAATTTGAATTTATCTACACATTAATACTTATTAGTATTTTTTTTTAATGGATGATAATAAAATGGTAACCCCGCCTGGGTCATCGGTATATATCGGCGGGGCACCAGTGGGGGATGATTGGTGAGAAGGAAAAGGCAGGTCAGTTAGCCCATCGTGACGGATTCAACGATAAATTAATCACAATGGTTCCTAGGGAGAACCGCGTGGAGGCCCACATGATAGGGTATATTGACAGTAACGGGGACTAACCTCCCCATTATTAACAATCTCTTCCCCCCTACTATTATTGACATCGCATCAACACCGTGTGAAAAGGATAGCCCATAAAGGGCCACCTTTTCCTTTCTCGTGTGTGTTGTAAGAGGTGACCAAGGGAACCTAATGATCGAGTGAATATGGTTGCCAACCTGCTTGCCAAGCTTGGCAACCATTAAGTTCCCTTTGTCGTCTTAAACAACATCCATGGAATAGGAAGGGTTGGTCCATTCTATGCCGGGACCGCACGGCTGAAAGATAACAATGATCAAAACAAATTACGTCCTTGAGACTGGCCGGATTATCAACTAGTGAATTTATTGTCACGCTTTGTGCACACTACGAATAAAAAGAACAGACAAAACTTGTTTTCGACGTGACTGTTTTGTTTCGACGTAGAATTTGGTAGTCCGATAAGGTGAATGCACCTTTAACCGTATCATTGTTTTTAAATGTTTATTAAACTATTACGAATGAATATAAGAATTATTAAGCCACATACTATTTTGGCCGTATGGTCCCGGAATAGAACAGGTCACCCGTTCCTTTCCCGTGGGTGTCGTAAAAGCCGACTAAGGGAGGTCGAGAGATGTGCAGCAGCGTCCCTCTTAAAACGTCTCAAAAGCCTGACGTCGGTTGCCAATTCGCCTGCCAAGCGTGGCAACTACTGGCGCAACCCATGGGTGAGGTATGTCCAGCAGTCGACAGTTAAAGTCTGATATGAAGATCATGATACTATTTTGTATTTGACACGATAACTGGTTGAGTTCTCCCACGAACACTAAGATTATGGAATGAGCTCCCTGCTGAGGGTTTCCCAAGAGACTACAGCATGAGGTTCTTCAGAAGGGTGGTAAAGAGGTTTCTTCAGGGTTGGCAACGCGCGCGTAATACCTCTGGTATTGCAGGTGTTTATAGGCTACGGTAACCACTTACCATCAGTTGGGCCGTATGCTTGTTAGCCACCTCAGTGGTATAAAAAAAAACTGGTCGAGTTTGTTAAGGTAACGAGACGTAATAAATGAACACACGCCTTAGTGTTATAAATGTTAACAAGGATTGAGAAATAGAAAAATATTTGATAATAAAAATAAATCAAATTTTATTTTTACTTACGAAAGAAATAGGTATGATTTTTATTGAGTTATTAAAATTGAAACGATGACATCTCTTTAACTATGATTATATTTTGCTCTTTGCTTTATATCACTTTGATGTCGAAAAAGCAAGTCTCTAAATTAATATTACAATATCTAGAAGTAACTATGACTTCTAGGATAGCTCTAAATTTTATTATAGGTCATTTCTTTATACAACTTAGAATGGCAAACAAGCTGACGACCCACCTGATGGAAAGTGGTAATCGTCGCTTATAGACATGAGCAGTACCATGTACCAGTAATTGTAAAGCGAGGTGATCACGTGAAATAGACTAAAAATATATATCTTATAAGGATACCTACTGATATGAAGGTATTAGGATATGTTTAGAAATTTAAACGTTATTAAAAATTTATCAATTAATGTCATTATATTTGACAGGTCAAAAAACATCAGATTGTTTTTACATTCTCATAAAATATAATAAATAACCATCCTCCATTAATGGGGATTTACCAGCTTCATTGCTAGCAATATACCCTATTTTTTATGGGTGATAATGGTATGATAACCCCGTCTAAGCTATTGGTATAATTGGCGGGGCACCAGTGATAGATAACTGATGAGGATGAAAGCAGGTTAGTTAGTCCATTCTGTCAAATTTAACTAGAATTAATCTCGATGGTTTCCAGGGGGAACCACATGGAGGTCGACCTAATAGGGTATATTGCTGGGGGAAAGGGATTATTAGTAATGGGGTCAAATAGCCACATTACTACTGACCTGCTTTCATTTTTACCTATCATCTCTTACTGGTACCCTACCAGTGTATACCGATAGCGCTGGCAAGGTTACCATTCCATTATTATCCCATAAAATGAATTACCCTACATTAATAAATTTAGTATGTACTTGCTATATAAGAGGAAGAAGGATATGAGCTTTTTTTTAACCCGTCAGTAATATATAGAAAGAAAGAAAGAAAAAAACTTTATTCTACATAAATATGCGACTACACCCACACAGAGCTTAAAAAAAATTAATATTTTAAGAATTATAACAACGAAACTACACACAATATTTATATATATTATATATAAAAAAAGAATATAAAATTAAAAAAGAAAAAAAAAAAACAGTTCGTATTATAACAGTTTCATCCAAAATGAGTGTGTGTGTGCGTGCGTCGCAATACCTGTAAAATGAGGTGCGTGCTCAGCATTATGCTGTAGTGTCAGGGACACTACAGCGCTGATTTTCAGCACGAGCCTCACCGACCCGCGGGGTCCTAATAGTAACAATAATATTTGGATAAGTCTGACTAACACAGTGGTGTGCTTAAAGTGTATTGTGTAAAAAAAATATATAATAAATTTGTGGTGGGTATATATTGAATGATATATTTTTTTTTTGATGGGTGAAAATGGTATGGTAGCCCCGTCTGCGCTAACGGGATACGCTGGAGGAGCACCAGTGAAGGGTGATAGATGAGAAAGAAAACAGGCCAGTTAGCCCATCATGATGAATTCATCAGGAATTAACCATGATAGTTTCCAGGGAGAACCGCGAGGAGGTCGACCTGGTTGGGTATGTTGCTAGCAATGAGATTCTCAGTCTCCATTACTAACAATCCCTTTCCCCCCAACCCGTCCTCGCTATTGGATACGGGTGACGGAATGCCTATACAAGAGGGTACTTGGTGGGCGCAATTTAGACGCAATATTTGAGGAGCATTAGGAAGGTTAATGAACGGCCGGATACTGCAACAAATGAGTATGTGGTCGGCCTCCGAACTGGCGACCTCTGCAGTCTACCAGTCCCCAATTCGAGGGATGACCGATCACCGGCCGTAAGAGATGACGCAGGGCGTATGAAAGCAAATATGTATCAGTTACACGAACGAAGTCACGGGTAAAAGCTATATCAATATAACACTTATAAATTTATTTACATTCCGTATTGACATTGAATGCGCTTTGTGTCATTACACTGTACATTATCAGTGTTGTCACATGCGAATTTTTATTTCTCTCTAAATTAACAATATTTTTTCTCCAAATTTTTCCTCTATTTCCTGTATTTTAACCAACTTAATAACCTTGTCTCGGTTTACGATTTACTACGTAACTATAACGTGAATGTTGCCGAGTGATTCTGGCATAGAATGGGCTACCCATTTCATTCCCGTGGGTGTCGTAAGTGGCAACTAAGGGAACTTAATGATCGAGACATGGGTAGTAGCGACCCTCTTAAAATATCACCAAAGGCTAATTGCTAAAAGGCTAACTTGTCAAGCGTGGCAATTACTGGCAAAACTCCCCATTAAGGGAAGGCCTATGCTCAGTAGTGGACAGTAACGGCTGATATTATCATCATCGTTACGTGAATGAAGAAAAAGCTAATAAAAAAATTGCTCAAATTCATTCTCCATGTCCATTCGAATTTTTTCTCCGAAAAATTCTTTAATTATTTAATTTTGCGTACGAAAAATCTTTTACCCGAAATTGGGGGAATAAATAATCTAGCAACCCTGCATTATATTACGCGTAAGCGCAGAATTTATCACTACGCGGCTCAGTTCGGTTTAAAAATAATAATAACGAAAAAACACAGTGGCTTAATTCGCTTTTAGTTGTGAAGTGTGCACGCGACGTTTGCGGGCAAAATAGTTTTTTTTTTTCTCTTTTATACATAGAATGAATAATCGAATGGATGAAACAAGTATATCATATGACAAGTGAGTTTTAATATTTATTATTTTAGTGATTTAGTTTACCATTAACTTTAATACCCTCACCAGATGGAGCAATGACCTCAATTGCATTGCAAGGAGTTAGTGTGTGCAGGTTTTTTTTATACAACTTAGAATGGTAAACAAGCTGACGGCCCACCTAATAGAAAGTGGGAACCGTTGCCTACAGACATGAGCAGTACCATGAACATAACAGAGTATACTGTTTCGCCCATGATACCCCCCATGCGTTGCCATTCCTAAGGACTCAGATGTTATTCCTCTGTAGGTCAGGTGGGTCAGGACCGTTTCTTATGATGGTTTGTGGGAGAGGCTTATGTTCCGTAGCGGACAGTTAATAGCTGACATGATGATGATGATGATGATGATGATGATGACGACGATGATGATGATAATTAATTGCAATACAATAATGGGACATTATTCTCCAGTGTGGTCCCGGCATGGAACAGGCCACCCCTTCCCATTGCTATTGTAAGAGGTGACTAAGGGAATTTAATGGTGAATGCCCATCTCGCATCAGCGTCTTTCCCAAAACACCAGAATATCTTAACTGCGGTTACTAATCCGACTGCCAAGCGTGGCAACTACTGGCAAAACCTCTTAAGGGGAAGGCTTATGTACAACACACACACATACACACACAGTTAAAACACAGTTAAAAGTTGACATGGTGATGATGGGATATTATTGTTGACTAAAAATATGTTGGTACGAGATGTGGAATCGGACATTTTATGTAAGTGTTTATAGTAATATATATATTATTAATTTTAATAGTATAAAACGAAGTCGCTGTTTACATGTCTATTTTTCTGCTTATTTCTTCTAAACCATGCTACCAATTTTACTACTGGCTTCATTGTCATTTAGACATTTTTTCATGTATCTAGAATTTGCACCTGTTTTTTTGTTTTTTGTTGTTTTTGGAATTAAAACACAAATTTACAAGTATTTCTGTAAATGCATGACTTTAATGAATGCCAAGAATTGTATTTTTTTTTAATGGGTGATAATGGAATGGTAACCCCGCCTGCGCTATTGGGATACGCTGGCGGGGCACCAGTGAAGGATGATAGGTGAGGATAAAGCAGGCCAGTTGGCCCATCGTGACGAATTCAACAAGAATTGTTCACGATGGTTTCCAGGGGGAACCACGTGGAGGTTGACCTAATAAGGCATATTGCTAGCAATGGGGCTGTCTACCTGTCTACCTCAATTGCTAACAATCCCTTTCCCCCTCCAAGTATTGTATTGGAATATTCCATCTTTATATTATTATTTCATAATAACATTAAGAATGTATTATAACAATATTTTTTTAACAGAATAGAAAAATAGCAATGTTGATGTAAACTTAAAATTATTAAGCATTTTTGAATGGTCATTGTTTTACGATTCTGTCGCCCAATTCAGAATGCAATTTCAGCTAAAACGAATAACGGCAAATAATTATTTAGATATTGCTTTTTTCAAGCAATATGGAATTTTATGTTATGAGTCTTTGTGATTATAAACTACCTACTGTAATTGTTTGTATCTATAATAAGTTTACTATTGTAATCTTTAAGTGAAAACAATCAAGAGTATATATCTATCTATCTATTTACCAAATAGTGTAATACCAGAAGAGTTTAAGATCATAAAAATGAAGGTACATACACAATTGAAGTATAATTGAGAATTTAGATAACATGACTCACACACAAACACACACACACACTCACACATACACACAAAATACACCTTTACATCAGTTATTACGAAAACTTCCAGTTATGCGACGTTTAGCATAAATATTTCCACTGCGTTTATTTTGTATTACATATCTATATAATTTTGTATTATCTACCTACAAAAAAAAAGTAAGTTATTGTTTGGTATAAAAATTGTAAATTTGTAATTGACTAATATACGGTGTAAATATAATATATTTTTATTATTCTACATATAATCTTTTGATATATATTTTCTGATATATACGTGCATAAAGAATGGATATATATATATATATATATATATATATATATATATATATATATATATATATATATATATATATATATATATATATATATAAAAGGGTATATCTGGGGGGGGGGGGAAGGATTGTTAGTAGTGAGATCCAACAGACCTATTACTAGCAATATACCCTAACAGGTCGACCTCCACGTGCTTCCCCCTGGAAACCATCGTGAACAATTCTTGTTGAAATCGTCACGATGGGCTAACTGCCCTGCTTCATCCTTACCTATTATCTCTCACTGGTGCTCCACCAGCGTATCTTATTAGCGAAGGCGGGGTTTATCGATTCATGTAAGTATCATTCCATTTTCACCCAAAAAAAAAAACTTTTTCAATTTTATATTCCTTTTTATATTAATACCCGCCCACTATGCACTTTTTATGTGTTATACATTGCGATTTGTTAATCTTTGCCGAGTGTCCACGATACAGGCTCGCCTAATGTGGGGCCTATTGTATCTTGTGTTTGTAACTTTGTGTAAATAAAATATAAATAAAAAAAAACGTGGCAGGGGGCCTACCGCCGTCACTCGAATTGAATTGATTTGTTAACGCTGTTTTCCATAACAAGAGAATAAGTCGGATATATAATTAGATATGGTACACAAAGTTGTTTTCAAGCGACTTCCAGAGACGCAGATACTCAATTCGGTTGTACGTTTCTTTTTATGTTTGTCACCTCATAACTCCGTCAGTTTTAAACCGATTTGGAAAATTCTTTTTTTATCTGCACGGATATACTTATAGATTGGAAACTTTATCAAAATAGTTCAGTAGTTTAATTTTTAGACCAGAATTGGTTTTGTCATAATTAAAGTCGGTTTTTTTTTAGGGATACAATCCGTATAATCCGTATTGATTTAAATGCTGTAACCATGGAAACAACAGATTTACTCCTCAGGTTGACCACTAGATGGAGTTGTTATTTTAGTATGCGTGTTGTATTGGATAATAAAAATAAATCTTATCAGTTCAAGGTTGTATTTATTTATTGAAACCTAAATTAAAACGTACCTGTACTAGTAGATTTGAACAAGGGTTTGTTTAAAATCTTTAATTAGTTATCTTTAATCTTGATATATATAGCACGTAGATGTTAGGTGTGTATATAATAGATCGACTATATTTTTTACATATTTGTATATAATTAATATATATCAATAATTAATTAACTATATTCAAATGTCAAAAATTATATATTATTAAATAATCTTTAATTTTTGTTGACAGTTGACAGCCATATTGTATTTATTTAATTCTAAGAACGAATGGCAAATGAAGTGATAAACATGAGAGGTACCGTGAATGTACTGATATCGACGGTAGCTCTCATGCTTTAGGGGAGATAAAATTGTCAGTAATGCATCTGCTTTCTTTTCTCAACTATCGTTCCACACTGGTACTCCGTCAGCATATACTGATGGTGCAGGCAGGGTTACTATCACTAGATAGTATAAAACAAAGTTGCTGTCGCTGTCTCTCCGTCCCTATGTATGCTTAAATCTTTAAAACTACGCAACTGATTTTGAAGCGGTTTTTTTTAATAGATAAAGTGATTCAAGAGGAAGGTTTATATGTATAATACATGCATAATATTGTAGAGAAACACTGATCAATTTAGAGGTATCTAATGTGACGAGATGTAATATGTACCCGCGCGAAGCCGAGGCGGGTCGCTAGTTCGTAATAAATTTCTAAATTCTAAAGTTAATTGTCCATTACTGAAACAGGCCTCCCTCTATTGAGGGTTTTGCCAGTAGTTGCCATGCTTGGGAGGCGGGTTGGTAACCGCAGTTAGCTTTGGTGATGTTTTAAGATGGACGCTGCTGCCTATCCCTCGACTATAAGTTCCATTAATTGCTTCTTGCGACACCTATGGGAAAGAAAGGAGTGGCCTGTTCTATGGCGGGACCACACGGGGGGTTAATAATTATATATAATTTAATTAATGTTGTGACTTTTTTATTTTTGACATTTTTTTTTTCAGTATGTCTAATCCACCGGTATCACGCCACAATTTGGCGTGCAAAATTTAAAATGTTGTGACTTTTTTATCTTTGATATAATATTTTTTTTCAGCATGTCTAATCCACCGATATCACGACCCGTATTCGCAAAATGTCTATTTTGCATACCGTTAAGAATGGGATGTTTAATTCTTGGATATTTGAATTTGGTAAGTATGTTAGAGACTAGAAAAGGAAGAGGAAGACCGAGGAATAACTACATGGGACAGATAAATGAAACACTAGGCGTCATGTCGTATAGGGAGATAAAGGATATGGCCTGGGATAGAGCTGGCTGGAGGAAGATGCATGAATTAGTTGCACCGACAAGAGGAAACTCTTAAATGAAAAGGCACGAACTCTTAAATGAAAAGAGTTAGAGACTAGCGACCGGCCCCGACTTCGCACGATAGGATTTTGATACTTTGCATTATATAACAGTAATTTTCGTAGAGTTCTTGAACTTGTTTAAATAAATATATAGCCTGTATTACTCGATGATAGTTTTTTATACGTGAAAGGTGATTTTATAAAATCGCTTGAATAGTTTCAGAGTTTGTCTATTATATTATATGTAAATAAACATATAAAATTGAAAATATTAAGTATAAATATATGTCTCTCATATACTGAGTAATAAATATACTTAATGGTAGTTCTCTTCACGCACACACGGATAAATCAAAGCTGTATTATTATGAGTAAAATTAATATTTCAATTTGATATTACAGTGAAAAGATTTAAAGGATCAGTTTAAATTAAATTTTTGTTCCGTTTCACATTTAATTTTTGATGGTTCATATTAAATAATAATTTTGGTAAACTATCAAATCAAAATTGTTGTTTTATGGATAAATTTGGGGAACGAATTCTCAGGACTGAGGATTCGTATTCGATCCTTATTGGACTGAGTTCGGATAATAATAATTAATATAAATCTATAACACGCACACACGCACGCACATATATATATATATATATATATATATATATATATGTGTCCACAGATGTTAGTTGCTTGTAGTTGCTTGGTTCCTCACAACTTCAGGACCAGGCGAATAGTTCGATTGTGTGGCACTTATTTATTTACTATACTACTACTACTTATATAATTTATCTATTACTTATATTTTTACCTCAACTTCATCTGCTTAATCTTGATAATTCACAGACGGGGATAAAAAATAGGCTGTATCCTTCTTTATCTCCTATATCAAGTATAAACCAAATTTCATGGTGATTGATTAAAATGTTAAGGCGCTAAGGTGTACCAAACACATTCACTTTCATACAAATAATATAAGTAAGGTTACAAAAGATAAACCTATTCTAGATAGCTACTGTACTAAGTATCATTGCAATTACCGGCATCACCCTGGTCCTCGGTTATGCGACCCACGGCTTCGACCACTTTGATCAACCCACCGAGATAAATCTTCAACAACATCCAGAGTTTTCGAAGAATTCACTGAGAAATTTCCTGATATTGATCGAGATATTTATTGCAATTGCTCTGTTGATGAACTTTGCATGGATTGTAGTCGATATTGCATGCTTGATTGGAGTGCACAAGGTTAGTACATTTCTTATTTTTAATACTTTCCAAAGCATTTATGTACTGCGGGCATGTAATATTATATATATAATATTACATATATATATACATATATACCTATATATATATATATATATATATATTTTATGCGACTTAGAATGTCAAACAAGCTGACAGCCCACCTGATGGAAAGTGGTTACCGTCGCCTATAGACATGAGCAGTATTATAGACATAACAGAGTATAGTGTTTCGTAAATTTACTGCCATATCCCACCCTTAAACCGAAATACAGCCATGCAAACAGTATTGCTTTACGGTATGGTCACGGGTGACACGAATGGCTCAAAGGTGCCCAAGCAATCGACTTTCGTACAAAGTTTTATACAAAGAATTAAATTTATGCCATTGTCATCTATTGAACAAAAAACTACATATAAACCAGAATGTAAGAATTATGTATACGATAGTGAAAACTCGGTCGAAATCAGTAGAGTGGTTTATTACTTAACAGGGAATGAACAAACGAATGCTACTCTATTTTACAATACAATACTCATATTTAAAGATGTGACTACATGTATAATTTTTATTTTCATATTAAACTATTCTCATATTATAATTCCTTATTATTATATATTTAAGGATAAATCGAATGTTCGCTTGTTTACTCTAGAGATATTGCATATATGTAGCAATTTATCTGAAGTTTACTTGGATACATACAATATTTTTGCCAACAAAACGTAATGAAAACGCATCATAGATTTTTGATATGGCAAACAGCCAGTGTTTATTATTGTTTTTGGAATGTGTCGCGAATTTGCGACACGATATCTCTGTTGCGACTTTTGGATATTTTTTTTCAACTTAACACACACGTAAGCACGCATGCATACACGCCCGTTGGCACACATGCACGCAAACACACACACACACACACACACACACACACACACACACACACACACACACACACACACACACACACGCACGCACGCACACACACACACACGCACACACATATTGACACAGATTGAATGAAATGCTGTTCAAGTCTAGAGTTGACGATTATCACTTACCATAAAATAGGCTATCTACTTGTTTGCTATTTTAACTTTAACTTTTTTTTTTATACAACTTAGAATACCAAACAAGCTGACGGCCCATCTAATGGAAAGTGGTAATAGGCTATAGACATGAGCAGTACCATGGACATAACAGAGTATATTGTTTCGCCCATGATACCCGTATGCTCTGCCCTTCCTGGGGACTCAGTTGTACTCCTCTGTACGCTGTAAATTCACACTATATCCCACCCTTCAAACCGAAACACAGCCATGCAAACACAACTGCTTCACGGTTGGAACACGAATTATTCCTGAAGACAATGGTGTTTTTTTCTAATAGGATGAAAATGGAATGGTAACCCCGGCTACGCCATCGGTATACGCTGACACTAGTAAGTGAAAATAGATGAGAATGAAGGAGCCTTGGAATTAATCATAAAGGTTTCCAGAAGGGACCGCGTGGAAGTTAATCTGATAGAATATATTACAGTAGAATCTCGATTATCTGAATCAAATAAAACCAGGGGTATTACGTATAATCGAAAATCCGGATAATCACTTTCAAAGTCAAATAATACAATATACGTAATTAAATTTTAATATATTTTTATTATGTAAAGGGTTTTACATGCATTATTTATACAATACGCTATAAAGAAATTACGAGATATAAAGATAATGACTTGCATAATACCTATTTGCCCAATTAATACATAATACGATTTCTAAAACGGTAATTAGAGTCGTGAAGATTAAGTCCGGATAATCGAATATTCGGATAATTATTGTTCGGATAATCGGGATTCTACTGTACTAGTAACAGAGCCAAGCGAACCAAGTGAGATTGGTAACAATCCATTACTCTCATGGGTATAGTGTTATATTTCCGGATCCTATAATTGCAACGTCATAAGCAATTCCTCAAAGCATCTATTTTTTCTTATACATATGTGTATTAAATAAAAAAAAATCAGTAAAATTGGTTTCGGAGATTAGCGTAAATTCCCGGCGCAAAATAGGGGTGTTATTGGTTACACGTGTCCGAGTGTCTCTCGGTGGCAACATATCTCCTAAACGAACTGATTATGATGCGTTTTTTGTTTAAAAGCTGTCGTGATCGAGATGGTTCTGAGTTGCAATTTATGAAGATCTGTTCAGCTGTTTTAAGGTCATTAGCTCTTTTTATGGGGTTGTTTGTGTCGAGGTTTTTTTAAATTTTTCATAAATAGTTGGTTATTATTTTATAAATTGTTGGTTATTATATATTAAGATGTTATAAATGATGAAGGTGTCCTTATGGTATTTTGAATAATAAAGTTGAAGTTATCATGGGATATAAAATTTAAATTACTCAAGAATGTACTCAGCGCGTACGGATGTCAGTAGAAATTTCACGTGTAACACGACATGTCAAATTGTATTGTGACAAAGTTTCACGAACTCATTGTTGTTAATTAGCATTCATTTGTAAACGAGATACCAATATAATAATATGCGTAAAACGTACAAATCTTTAAGTAAGGAATGATGTCAGAAAGTTTTCAGAGTAACCTACTTTGTTGGAGTTATTTTTAACGTATTACTACTGTTTACAATGGCATCCGGCTAGAAGGATCAATATTTTATTTTTATTATTTCAACCGTTAACTGTCCACTGCTGAACGTACGTCTTTCCCATAGAGGGGTTTTGCCAGTAGTTGCCACGCTTGGCAGGCGGGTTGGCAACCACAGTCAGGCTTTTGGTGATGTTTTAAGAGGGACGCTGCTGTTCAACCCTCGCCTTCTCTTAGTCGCCTCTCACGACACCCACGGAAAAGAAAGTGGAGGCCCATTGCATGCCGGGGCATATATGGCGAGATTAATAAGAGATCAAGGAGGATAAATAACTATGGTGGATTATTCAGATTTTTTTATGAGACTAGGAAAATGTTTATTTATAAATTTGATATACAGTCAATCAGGTAGATCTCCACGCGGTTCTCCCTAGAAATCGTCTGTTTAATTCTTGATAAAATCGTCACGATGGGCCAACTGACCTACTTGTACGCCAGCGTATACCAATAGCGCAGGCGGGGTTACCATTTCATCTTCACCTATGAATAAAAAAAAACCTCGAACGCTGCAGCAATATGCTGAGCAAGGATCTAGTTCGAAGTACACTGCAACACACACGTTATGCATACGTAGACACTTGCATTTGCATACTTTTAAATTTAGGCTTAATTTGAACAATAAATGATAGATTTTTTTTTATATATTTTATTCTTGTTTTGTTTGTTTTGTTTTATCAATAAATTTATAAAAGGAGGTTCGTAATTCGGATGTAATTTTTTTTATGTTTGTGACCTTATAACTATCCTAACTTTTTTAACTATGTTAGTTGTGAACTGATTTGAAAAAATCTTTTTTTTTTATCTGAAAGAATATATCTATAGTTTGGGTCAATAGAAATTTTATCAAAATCGATTCAGTACTTTAGTTTTTAAATCAAAATAACTGATTTTGCCATATTTGACTTTTTTTTTTAGATATATAATTTTAAATTATTTCGGCTTATATTTTATATTGTTACACTGGGAAGAGGAGAGATGGAGTGATGAAGATTAGAAACACCTACTGGCCTACCTGTTGGAAAGTGGTAACCGTCGCCTATAGACATGAGCAGTACCATGGACATAACAGAGTATACCATACTGTTTCGCCCATGATACCCCCCATGCGTTGCCATTCCTGAGGACTCAGGTGTTGTTCCTCTGTACCCTGTAAATTCACGCCATATCCCATCCTTCAAACCAAAACACAGCTAAGTAAACACAACTGCTTCACGGTAGAAACACGAATGGGACAGAGGTACCCAAGCAATCGACTTTTTTACAAAGTCTCCCTCTGGAAAATGTACCACTATCTTCATTATTTATGTAACTGTACGAATCATATGATTCTATTAATAAATTCTTAATTTTCGATTTATATTTAAAAATGATTTTTTACCTAATAAAAATAAATAAATAAATATAGTATTTATACAGAGTAATCTCTTTTTTTTCCAGAAACGTGTCGGTCTGTTTCGCCTCTACATTTCGTTCGCCTCTCTTAGATTAATATTCATATTAGTCGGAATCCTTTATCTTGTGGCAACCAACAGATCGTCATTAATGGCATTTGCCGTCGAAATGTTCAACTTTGGTAAGTTTTCGTCTACAATATGTTTATTATGTTTGTATATATATATATTTTTATACAACTTAGAATGGCAAACAAGTTAATAGCCTACCTGATACCTGAAAGTGGTAACCGTCGCCTATAGACATGAGCAGTACCATGGACATAACAGAGTATACTGTTTCGCCCATGATACACCCCATGCGTTGCCATTCCTGAGGACTCAGGTGTTATTCTTCTGTACCCTGTAAATTCACGCCATATTCCACCCTTCAAACCGAAACACAGCCATGCAAACACAACTGTTTTACGGTTGAAACGCGAATGGGACAGAAGTACCCAAGCAAACGACTTTTGTACAAAGTCTCCATCTGGTAAAATATATTTAAAATTTAAAAAAATTATTTAAAAAAATTAAAAAAAAAAAAAAATTAAATATATTTGTATCTGTGCAACAGTGCGCCACCTACCCTTTGTCTTTTTTTCTCAATATCCTCAACCCAAAGGTTGTCTGCAAGAGATTGCTTAGCGATAAGGCCGCCTTTTGTATCATTTCTCATTAAAATTTACTGTATTTATTAATTTATAAATGATGCAATGAAGAGTAAAAATGTGTATTTTTTTATACAACTTAGAATGGCAAACAAGCTGACGGATGGAAAGTGGTAACCTCTGGAAACCTGGTGGTGGTGGTGGTCGACCTGGTTGGGTATATTGCTAGCAATGGGATTCTTAGTCTCTATTACTAACAATCCCTTTCCCCCCTATGTCACTGGTTATTTGCATAGAATTATTCAATTTACCATTAGTATCTGTATGACTGAGAACACTCGAAGAATTAAGAAGTGGTGGAATTTCTGGTAGTAAAAGTGGGGGTCAAGTTTCGAGTGTTCGCAGTCTCACACATACTAATGACAGCGGAATTAAACAAAATAATTCTAAGTGTACTGTGATTTTTTATGTGATTTGTATTTTTTTTTTTATTTAAATTTTGTACTCAATGTTCTTTTACAGTTTTGACTGCATACTTCATCCTGATTTACTATATGTATGTGAAACAAACAAATATAGAGGAAAACGACAAGATTTATACTATAAGTTCTCATTACAACAACAACATAAGCGACATCTATCCGACATTTATTGATAAACGAAAATTTGTCGTGTACGATAAGTACATAAACAGTTATTATTAATCATATATTTTATATTATTTAATTTAAGACAAGTGTCATTTTTATATTATTATATTAGTTTATATATAATTAATTTTATATTAAATATTATAGATAATTAATTGGAAATAGAGTTCTCTTCAACAGTTTTCCATTTAGAATGAAATATGGGACATTTGAAATACGTGCCTACAAACATTTAAAAGACCTGCAACATACAAGCAACTCCTTTCGTGTTGCAAGTGTTAAAAAATTTGGCGGTAATATATTTAAAATGAATTATTAAAATTTACGTCTAAATTGTATTTTAATTTAAATAAATGCAAAATTTTATATATATAATATTAGAAAAAATGAGCAAATTATATTCCAGTAATTATTTAGTTTAGTTTTTTAATTTACAAAATATAATTAGTTACTAGGCGACGATAACAGCTTTCCATCAGGTGGACTGCCTGCTTATTTGCCTATTTCTCTAATAATAAAAAAATTGGCGATCATTTATTTAAAATGAATAATTTTAATTTAAACTAACAGAAAATTTATTACAAAAATAAACAAATTATATTATAGTAATAATATAGTTTAAATTTTTTTTTTTTATATATATATATATATATATATATATATATATATATATATATATATATATATATATATATATATATATATATATATTTAAAATTAAGAATTTTATTGTCTTGATATTTAGTGTACTTTTATATTGTTTAGATTTTACTTCATTAATCGAATCTTTCTATGGTGTTTGTAACTCAAATAATAACTATAATGAAATGTGCATTGTTTTCTTTCTTGTTTAAACAGTAGTTATATTCATATATAAAAAATAAAATTTAAAAAAAATGGGATTTTTATTTATAACAGATACTATTTATTTATTTCCTACTATTTGTAGTTTAATACATTTGTAATTTTTCGTGTATTGTGATGTCTTCCCTCATTTTAAACTAATTTAATTGAGTAATTAATTTCTTATGAAAATATATTATCAAATTTAGTTTACAATTGGGAAAACTAATTTTGATGTAGTGTTTCATTAAAATACATTAATAATATAATTAATTAGTTTGCAATTAAGGATAAATCGAAAGTAAGTACTTATTATATTATTGTAATGATAAAGTCGAACATATTTGTGATAAGTAGTACATTCTCGTATTATATATCATATTTCACGAGATAGGGGGAAAGGGATTGTTAGTAATACAGATTACTAGTCTCGTTGCTAACAATAATATCAGAGGGAGACTGTACAAAAGTCGTTTGCTTGGTCATTTCTGTCCTATTCATGTTTCTATCGTGAAGCAGTTGTGTTAGCACGGCTGTGCTTCGGTTTGAAGAGTGGGATATGGCAGTGAATTTACAGGGTACAGAGGAATAACATCTGAGTCCTCAGGAATAGCAACTCATGGGGGGCATCATGGTTAAAACAGTATACTCTGTTATGTCCATGGTATTGCTCGTCTATAGGCGACGGTTACCACTTTCCATCAGGTGGGCCGTCAGCTTGTTTGCCATTCTAAGTTGCATAAAAAAAAACTGTTACCACTATTCCTTATAATACCTAGAATGTCGTAATATGCAATTAACAAATATAGCAAGGGGCAACTCTATCAAAAATATATATTAGGTAAAGTCGTTTAAAAACCGATTTGTAAATCATTAAGCAATTTCTTTTTGATTAGCTATCTTAAATGTTGGACGCAATTACGTTGAAACTCTGTTATCAACGCCTGAATTGACTTTGTATAAGTTCTTTGAATTTGTTACTTGCTTGTTATGAATATGATTATGCTCAATGTTTGTTTACGTATGATTATATGCAGAAATCAGTGTTGCCAACAACAGTATCTATTCCCCATTTGTTAGGAAAACATTGTTATTTTTTTACTACAAAAATTAAAATTATTTATTAATAAAAGTGAATTTAATTTAATTCTTGTTACTTATGGCAATTAAGTAACAAATATTTACAGTAATTACATTAGTGATTTGACCTGGCTTCGTACGGGTATATATTTATGAATCGGTTTTAAAATTGATTTAGCAGTTTTTGAGTTTATCCATTACAAACAAACAAACAATCAAATCTATACTCTTTGTAATATTAGTAAAGGTAAAATTGCTAATATTAATTTTATACTCATATTCTTCCACAAATCGTTATAATAAGTGCATGACCAGTTTCGACATTCAATGTATTTTCAAAGGTAAATAATTCTATTTGTTTAACAAATATAAATAATTTAAAAAATTACATAAGTACAACTTACACTTTAATATATTACACAAAAGTTTCAATAACTTCATCCCTATTCTCTTTCCCCTACTTTTACTGTAATAGTATATATATATACATATTATCATTTCAGTTATTATTTGTTCACTGCTGGACACAAGCCTCCCCCATAGACTGCCATAAAGAACGGTCCTGAGCCACCTGCGTCCACCGACTCCCTGCAATGCTATATACTCTTATATACATATGTATGCATATATAAAAGTACTAAATATCCAGCAAAGGACGTTTACAGTTAAAGTTGTAAGTTGTAAATAAATCATAACTTTTTTAATGGAAGGAAAATTCTGCGTTTTTAATATACACTATTTCTCTGTAAACATTATTAGGGAAATTTTATGCTATATAAAATGGCGACACTAGCGAAATTTCATAATTCATTGCATTCCGTTCACTCATTCACTCTCTCACTCACTTACTCGGTCAGTTCAGTTCTTTGTCGTGGATTGCGCACGCGTCGATCGCTAACAAAACACGGCTGTTGTTTATTTTATTTTTTGCAAAACCGAATAACAAAATGACCGGTTCCACTATACCATATGACAAGTGAGTTTTAAATGTTATTATTATTTATATAATTGAGTTTTTACTACACGTTTATAAATGACATTTAGACGCTATTGTCAATGTAAAACGTTGTGTAATGTAGACGAAATGTTTTTATACGTGGCGTGCTATCGAAACAAGTTTTATCGTGTTGCTTTTTGTGAAACGAGCAAGTACAGTCGCCAATAAAAATATGTTTACAGTTTTGTATCTTATCGCTGTATTGTTATTTAAAATATAAATAACGTTATGAATAATTAATATAGTGTCTTATTAAAAATATTATGTAGTAATTGGATAATGTTTGTACATGGAAGATATTTAAGAAAAAAAAAATTATAAGAGGTTTTAGTAAGAGCAATAGAAGGTATAATATACGTTTGTCTATCTGTTGATTCGTTCCGATATCACTCGAAAACTACTGCACCAAATTGGATGCAGTTTTAATAGTTGTATCCCTGAAGGTGTAAACTAAAAATCTGGTGTATGTTTTATATTAATATGTTATTTAGAAGTTTATATTTCTTTTTAATTTATTCTAAATCCTTTCCTGTCCATGCAGTTTGCCTGTGGAACTCACTACCTACCTCTATTTGGTGAACTTAATCTCTCGCTAGCATCAAAACCTCTGTTAACCCTTGAAATGTTAACATTTAATGCCCAAAAATTATATAAAAGACCAAGTTCACTTTAAGTTGATCGTGTCTGGATACCTTTTTAATGTCCATTGTAAAAAATAAAATATAGCTATCAAATTTATATTTTTAACCATTTTTCCTTTAATTTTGAACATGAATTATGTCATGTCACCTTGATTTATTTCACCAATAAAAAAAAAATCGTGCAAAGAATGATTGAGTCCTACTATCTCACCCTTTAGTACTATTTCCCTGTGTTCTCTCTTCATCTTCTTCCATCATTCTCACCTTGTTGTATGTGTGCTATTAATTATGTGTATGTTTATATTTGTTTATATTATATATAATAGTGCGTCATCTACCCTTTGTTGTTTTCTCAATGTCCTCTATCCAAAGGTTGTCTGGAAGAGATTATTTAGCGATAAGGCCGCCTTTTGTGTCACTTCTCATTAACATTTACTGTATTTATTATTTTTTTAAACCGTGCAATAAATAAATATTTTATTGGCTTACCTACTTCTGAAATCCACGTGTACGAAGTTTTTTTTTTTTTATACGACTTAGAATGGCAAACAAGCTGACGGCCCACCTGATGGAAAGTGGTAACTGTCGCCTATAGACATACATAAGCAGTACCATGGACATAACAGAGTATACTGTTTCGCCCGTGATACCCCCCATGCGTTGCCATTCCTGAGGACTCAAGTGTTATTCCTTTGTACCCAGTAAATTTATTTATTTAATTGCACCATTCACTTTATTGCACCAATATTACAGGATTTGTTGAAGAATTTTCGATAAGTAGTGGGCAAAAGGCTAGTATTATATATATATGTAACCTATAAAGTATTTTTTTAAACAGAATACTAGTATTAAGGCTTTTTTCTTTGACAGACAGAAAATACATTAGACTGAGTTTAACTTTCTCATAACTGGTTATTACCCGCGACTTCATTCGCTTTTTTATACAACTTAGAATGGCAAACATGTTGACAGCCTGATGGAAAGTGGTAATCGTCGCCTATAGACATGAATAGTACTATAAATATAATATAATATACTGTGTCGCTTATCCGGGATATGTAAATTGACTGTTATGGGCGTACAATATTTTTTTTTTCATTTTAAATTTCACTTGAATATTAAAGGTACATAGGCCTTCTTCATAAGGGGGGTTTTGCCAGTAGTTGCACTGCTTTGCAAGTGGTTTTCTTCCTCAGGAATGGCAACGCATGGGGGGTATCATGGGCGAAACAGTATACTCTGTTATGTCCATGGTACTGCTCATGTCTATAGGCGAGGGTTACCACTTTCCATCAGGTGGGCCGTCAGCTTGTTTGCCATTCTAAGTTGTATAAAAAAAAGTGGTTTGGCAATCACAGTCAGGCTTTTGTTGAAGTTTTAAGAGGAACGCTGCTGCCCATTCCTCGACCATTAACTTCTCTCACATATGGAGGGTTTTGCCAGTAGTTGCCATGCTTAGCAGGCGGGTTGGCAATCGCAGTTAGATTTTTGGTGATGTTTTAAGAGGGAGGCTGCTGCTTATCCCTCGACCATTAAGCCCCCTTAGTTGCCACTTTCGACATCCACGGGAAAGAAATGCCTATGCTCGTTTGTTTCGTTGAAGTCTGTTTTTTTTTTACGAAAATAAATTTACTTGTAACCGCTCACTCATATTACGAAATGTCATTAATATTAATGTATTTAGTTAGGTAATTTCCAAAACATTTAGTTAGTAAAACTTCGTTACTTCTGGTAAAACCTATTACGTACTCATTAAATGACCACTTAGAAAACAAACGACGTTAGTGGATCGTGCACGGGATTTTAAATATTCAATCTATTAATACATTGCTATTAAGTTTGAGAATTTGTTCGGATTGATACCTGCTGCTCATTTTCACCACCGTACAACCCGCCATAAACTAAAGTTTCATCCCAACCATCTGGACGAGTGGCGAGTTTCCACCGTGCGTTTTTCAAGGCACTTTCTTTCACGCACAACCACTTTTTGGAATCAACTTCCAGTAGCAGTATTTCCCTAACCGATACGACATCATAACTTTCAAGAAAAGAGCATATTCCTTTTTAAAAGACCGGCAGCACACCTGCAATGCCGTTGGTGTTGTGGGTGATTATAGGCGGCGGTAGTCACTTATCATCAGGTGAGCTGCATGCTCGTATGCCTCCTGTGTTGTAAAAAAAAAACTATTAAGTAAAAGAATACGACAATCGAGTTTCTTACCAGTTCTTCTCAGCTAAAATAACTTTTTGATTTAGTTGTACAACATATATGCAATAGTTTTTACCCTGAGTAGTAGGGTAAAAATCTTTAAATACAACCCATCAACTGACCAGATTTTATCTGTAACTCCGTTCACGTTTTCTTTTTTATACCATGATGGTGGCAAACGTCTGATAGTAAACCGTTATGCTACAGACGCCTGCAACACTAGAGGTGTCACATGTACGTTGATGACCCTGCAGAAACCTTAATAAACCCTTTTTGAAGAATCTCATACTGTAGTCTCTACGGAAAATCTTGGCAGGGAGCTCATTCTACAGCCTGAGCTTACGCAGGAGGAAACTCCTTTGAAACAGCATTGTACGTGACCATTTCGATTCTAGGGCATGAGGATGAATTCTCTGTCGATGGCCAGCGGTACGATGATAAAACCTGGTAATGGCCTATATCGTTCTCCATCCTAATATCGCATGTATACCATTTTGACTATTGATGGTTGAAGTCATTGAGGCAGAGGTAGACTTTGTACGAAAGTCGTTTGCTTGGGTATCTCTGTCCCATTCGTGTTTCAACCGTAAAGCAGTTGTATTTGCATGGCTGTATTTTGGCTTGAAGGGTGGGATATGGCGTGAATTTACAGGGTACAGAGGAATAACACCTGAGTCCTCAGGAATGGCAACGCATGGGGGGTATCATGGGCGAAACGGTATACTCTGTTATGTCCATGGTACTGCTCGTGTCAATAGGCGACGGTTAACACTTTCCATCAGGTGGGTCGTTAGCTTTTTTGCCATTCTAAGTTGTATAAAAAAAAAGGTAACAAATAAATTCATTTTTACTTTAACGAATACAAACATTTAATTTATCTATCTATCTATCTACCTTCATACTCGTATTTGGTTGATTACCTGGTTTCGACAACATAACTGTGATTCCCTTCAGCCACATTACACAAGTCAATTCATTTGGATGGGCTAATGGAGAACACGAGTTCGTGTACCGTGAGGCGCTCATTTGTCGATATACTGTGTACCGACACGGTACGTTAGCTATGTATGTTAGTTAATTAATTGTTTTAAAAGTAATTAATTTATGAGAAATAATATCTTGGTATAATGTGTTTTTATATTTTGCTCAGTAAAAAATCGACCGGTGATAAACACAAGAGAGAGAGTGTTAGTACACTTTCCTTCACTTTGGGAAGAAGAAAAAAAAATAGTGAACGTAAATACTGATGAATAGCGAAGCGTTTCGTCATTCATTCATTCATTAGATAAAATATTTTTTTTTTATTAGAATTTGATGAAAATGTAGACAAATGAATAATTGATCGGGCCACAGGACAGTTAATATAGGTTTTTTACAACATGAAGTGTTTTCCAAAATTTCGAAGCCAAACGAAACACAAATTTGATTGATAAAATTACAGAATACATACCGTTTAAAAATATTAAAAATGTAAAAATATCGTTCCTTTAGATTTTTATAGTAGGATTTATGAAAAACGAAATGTTAAGCTCCATTTTTGGGTTTAGTTAAATAGGTATATCACAACATATTTGCAATTGTGTTAACATATATATGTGTGTGTATTTTGTATATATTTATTATGTATGTATTATTCTTTATAATATAATACATACATAATAATGAATTTATTAAGATAAATTATAATAACGAGTATTTTTTTGTGTAATATATTTTCGCCACCATTGCCCTCAAATGTTTCTTGTTTTTACCTAATGGTTAGCTGATAGAGAATGCTTTTTTTTAATGGGTGATAATGGTATGGTAACCCCGTCTGCGCTATTGGTATACACTGGCGGGGTACCAGTGAGGGATGACAGATGAAGATGAAAGTAGGTCAGTTAGCCCATCCTGATGAATTAATATAGAATTAGTCACGATGGTTTCCAGGGAGAACCACGTGGAGGTCGACCTGACAGGGTATATTGCTTGTAATAGGGCTATTTGACCCCATTACTAACAATCCCTTTTCTCCCCGTAGAGAATGCTTTATAACATTAAGCTCGTCATTTGTACAAATTTAATTATGCAATAAAATAAAATTAAAAAAAAAATTAAATAAGTAAATAAAGTAAAACAAATAAAATTAA